TACAAACAAGAAACACTGCAGGTGCCATGGACATTTTTCATCTCTTAAGAATTACCTGAGTTCAGGGTAGCTTTAGACAGTCACAGATCTGAAATCCACATGTCTCATTACTTCAGCTATTCTGCCAGCACTGTCCTATCTCCTGCCCTCTTGCATTCCTGTCACAGCCACCCAGAAAAATCCCCTAGATTGTCTTCACCCTGTTCCTGTGCCCAGGCTGATGAGCACTGCTAGAGAGAATGGCTACTGGGCTCTGTGACTTTGGACAGAGACATGAATTTGAATTAGTAATCAAACCTTTTATTTTTCTTTTGCTCACTAGGATGTGGCAGCCTAGATGATATGCCCCAACTCCTCAGCACTCTCATCAGATGGGCTCTCCCTCAAAATCCCACCCTTGCCCAGCTCCTTCCTTCTCCACAGTTTCAGCAATCCTGCCCTCCTGCCCCCCTGTCTCTATGGAAGAGCTGCCTTCCTCTCTCTAAAGACAGTCTTTTCACCCCTCTCATTCTGGAGCCCCCACCCTCCTGCTTCTTCAGCAACCACATATCATCACAGAAGCTCTGTGCCATCTATGCATAAAGGGGCTCATCTCTCTCCTCTATTTAAAACAAACAAAACTAACATTTTCTTATCTCCTGTACCCTAGTGTCTATAAGAAACACTCTCCTTCCCATCATGGCCAACCCTCTTCAAAGTGTATACTGTATTCCTTATCACTCCTTTATAGTGCTCACTCCCCAAGCCTCCACAATCTATCTGCCTTCCCTCCTCCTGCTGTACTGATGTTGTCATTGACCTCCTAATTGCCAAATCTAATGAACATGTTTTTTAAATGTTTTATAGTGTGTTTTATCTGATTACAAGAGGGGTACACGTCAGGAATAAAGTTATGACATATGACTAGAGACAGAAAAACTTGCACTATATAATAGGCAATGGGTAAATATCCCTAATAAATAAAGTGTTCTTACAAATTCAGTAAAAAGCTCTAAAGAAAAATGTACAAAGGATATTAAGGAGCAAATTTCAGGGAAAATATAAATAGCTAACATACATGAAAAGATACTCAGCCTCACTAGTGATCAGAGAAACGCAGGTTGAATCAGTTAGATACTATTGTTTACCTATCAGATTGGCAAAAATTAAAGACTGTCCATCCTCAGCAAGGGCATGAGGAAAAGCACTCTCAAGGGTGAGAACAGGAACCCTCTTGGATGTCAGTTTGGTATTGCCTATTCACATTTGTAAATGTACATAAACTTTGACCCACAGAATATTTGTGTGTGTGTGTGTGTGTGTGTGTGTGTGTGTGTGTGTGTGTGTGTATCTGTATCTATATCCACCCTTGAGCATTGTGCAGAGGTGTTTATTGAAGCCTTGTGGTGGCTTGGACTAGAGTGATAGAGGAGTGGAGACATGGCAGAATATGTGACACAGGTGGAAGATCAGGTCTACAGGACTTGTTGATTAACTGAGAGGAATCAGGGGTGATCCTAGGTTCTTATCTTGAGCAACTGAATGGATGATAGTTCCATATTACTGAGATAGCAGAGGCTGACAGAAGCGGGTGGGGATGTGAGAAGAATCAGGAGTCCTGTCCCAACCTTGTTACTTTTGAGATGTCTGCTTGACATCCAAGTAGAGATGCCACACAGAGCACTGGATATATGAGGCCGCAGCTTAGAAGAAAGGCTTGGGCCAGAGACCTAAGTGTGGGAGTGATGAGTGTATAGATATATAGTATTTAAAGCCAAGGGGCTGGAGGAGTACTTCTAGAAAGACTTTGGATAGAGGAAAGTCCAAGGGATGAGCCCTGTATCACTCCAGTATTCAGAGACTAGGGAGATAATTTTAGTAGAAGAGGTGGCTAAGCAGAAGTTTTTTGTACAGCTTGAGTTTTAAAGACATTAACATAGATCAAATGATGGAGAATCATATATTTACCACCGTATCAAGGGGCCTAACTTCACCCAGACCTGTCTTTAAAGGGAGTCTATCTTTTTTCTTTCTGAATAGTTCAAAACACACTTAAACAGAATAGCACTTCTTTTTCTTTTATGTTATATAGTGGTTTCCTCACACTGCATAATTCTCCTAGTATAAAATACTCATTTACTCACATAGCACTCAGCAATGGCTTTTCTATAAAGTGTATAATCTAATAACCACCGCATGCCTAAAAGGCTAAGAGAGACTTCAGGCCAGAAGCCTAAATTGTAGCATCTTTTATTTTGGGGGGCTGTTCACTTCCCCATTGCACAGTAAGTTTTCCAGATTCTTTACTGAAGACACCAAATGCCTGGAAGGCCTCAAGACATCTGAAAAACCACACCCTCTCCTCTCAGTGCAACCCCCTTCCTGCCAACAAGAAGCACAGAGTCTTTGCATTTCCACTTTCAACTTAAGAACTTTGCATCCAGAGACTCAGGCTTTAAAAAAAAAGAGAGGAAGTACTTCCAACTAGGTCAAAGTTGTCATCAGGAATTCAGTCTCAATGCACAACTCAGCTGAAGGAAAGCTGTGTGAGAACTGGGCCTGGGGTGACCTTACACTGTAGGGCAACAGACTGGGGACGCTTAGTTTCAGGTCCAGGGAGCACAAAAGAGTGCCAGTTCCTAGAAGGGTGATAGCATTCATTAATTCTCTTAACAAACATTAGTAAGCACCTATGATGTACCATGCTCTGTTATGGTTGCTGGGGTCCCCTGGTGAATAAAACAGACAGAAATCCCTGTCCACATGGAAGTTACATTTTGGAGTGGAGAGAGGGGCAGACAGTAAGAAAGAAAAAAAGAATAAAATATGCAATATGTTACATTAACAAAATGAGGTAGGGAAGGGGCATGTAGAATGTTCAGGGAAGGGGCTGCAAGTTTAAATAGTGAGGCTGGGGAAGGCCTCACTAAGGCGACATTTAAGTACAAACTCCTAGCTGTCGGATTTCAAGTGCTCAGGAAGGTGTTTTCTGTACAATCTCACCACCATCAGGCTTCAGGTCCTTGAAGGCAGGGGATCCCCAGCCTAGCACAAATATTTGTTACTCTCTCCTGCTTTATGCAAAGAGAGCTCCAAGATCCAGACCTTGCCCTTTATCGAGGTTACAACAACCTTCCAGGTGGAAAAACAACTAAGAGAGGTGTTAAGGGCTTTCCTGAGGTGTAAATAAAGTGCTTTAGGATACAGGATAACTGGCAATTCAGCTTGGGGGAAGGAATGTGTGTTCAGTTAAGGTTATGCAAAGGAGGTGATTTTAGAGCTAAATCTTGAGAGATGAATAGGAATTAATGGCAGGAGAGTGGATATGAGTGGCAAGTTAGCATTTCAGGAAAATAAAAGGAGGGGAACAGTTTGAGCAAAGGCCCAGAGATGCAATCAGGGAGGACATGTTCTCCTGGACTGTCCCTGCCTAAAGTACTCCATCCATCCCTCCATACAGCAAGCAAGCACACACTTACCCTCAGGCTCTCTGGTCTGGTGGTTGGAAAATCCTTATCACTTACCACACCCTCATTTCTTCCCTAACCAGCAGTGAAGGAAGACTGTTGAGTCAAGCATACATCCCTAGAATCCAGGGTTACCCTCTGCTAACTTCAGGACAGTGACTACTGAGAAGAGAGCATGAGAAGTCCCACTCAGCCAGGTACATGGGGGTGGGGGGTATGCTTAGAGTGGCCATGTGGCAGTCGGCCCCATGTTGGAAGGAAGTGGCGAAGGAGGTAAGACATCAGTGATCTAAGTGGTCCAAAGTCTCTGCAGTGCATCTGAGGTGGATAGGATCAAAATTTATGCTTCATCTTAGAAGGGTAATTTTTAATCACGTAATCCAAACCCTTGCGCTATTGAGTGTCCCAAACATCTGAGAGCAGAGGTGGTGTGACACGGGATAGAACACAAGCTCAGCAGTCAGATGGCCCAGCTCTGACCCTCATCAGCTGGGTGATCTGGGGAGGACCCTTAACCTCTCAGAGATTTCTTTTCATTACAACCTAGTTCTAGTTGTAGTGCCTACCACATAGAATTATGAGGATTACATGAGATAATTATGTAAAGAACTTATCACACTGCACAGCTCAATGGATTCTAACAACCATTATTAGCAGCAGCCTTTAAGGGGAAAAGCTCAGAGAACATCAACCAGGATGCTACATTCACTCACTGACCAATTACCCCAGGACAGGACTCCAAGCCCCATTTCACTGCTCTGACCTAGAGTAAGGCACCAAGATTAGTGTTACCATAAATGTTCATGCCTTGCTAGGAAGTCTCACAAGCCACGGTGTTGGTCTTTTCCTACTTGGATTTCCAGCAATTGCTAAAAAAAAAAAA